AGGCTTTTCATCTACACAGTTAGGAAATAATGAATTAGGCACACAGAGCTTGGGCACATAAGTAGATGCCATACATACTTTTTGGTTGCTTAGACCCTCCTCGCGTACTGGTGAATTTATCATGTACCCCTCATGTGCATATTTTGATTGTCGCGCTTGTGACATTGATTCTGCTAGTGGATCATATTTTTTATGGCTAGAGTGACAAACACGGGGCAAAATAAGCTGCAAACAATTAATAAAGTTAGATTGTACGCTGTGACAACAGCATCATATTGATGCTATGTTTGGAAACTTACAGTTCCTCCATTTATCCCCTTCTTCATAAAAGCCTTCGTTCGAGCATTAGCATTGGTGTCATTCCACATCACCATCCGTGGTTGGATTGTCTGGTCGTACTTGACCCCGTAAGTGCTGTCCTCAATAATGACATGCTCCCAGTACCAACACTGTCAACAAAATGAAGAAAACACGTAAGATAAAAAATAAACACTGTTTATAGGTGTTGGTTGTACCATATAGAACTGACCTGTAGCAGAGCCAAATTGCCCTTTAGGGTGGCTTCTTTTTGTGTGTTGTAAGTATGGCATGAGTTTAATAAATGGGTCAGAGTGAATTGTCCCCAATTAAATTTTCGAATGAGTGATACATGTTCAACAGCTTGTATATAACTATAATTGACATGGGGCTGTGTATTTGGTGCTAGTATGACGCCAATTGTGAACAAGACAAATGCTCTTTTAAAGTCATCATCCGGAGTTTTTGAGTCACGAATCATGCTTTCCAGATTCCTTAACTCAAGCTTGTGGTTTGCATCAGCATACCTCTTAAACAATTGAGTTTCCACAGTTTTCTCTTCACTGGTCTTTGTTTGCTCTACATATTCGTCTACATTAGCGCCTTCAATTCCCAGTCCCAATATGTCTCTGACATCCTCTGCATAAATAGTAATATCTTGATCACATATTTTGAAACATTGGTTGCTGACTTGGTATGTTTGTGCAACGTCCTTTATCATTACTTTCCTGATACTCATCTTTAGCATACGAAGCAGCCCCTCAAATCCCATATCCTTAACTGCAGCCTTGTGTTCTTCCGATAAACCACGTACGACTTTTTCAAATCTTGTAGGTGAGTGTGTTAAATGAAAAGACGCAGTCTGCAGCAACCAGTTGGTTGTTGATAAGTTGCTAAAAATGTAGAGGCAACTTACACAAAAACTGCAACTGGATATGGAGATTACCTGATCGTTGTTGTCACCTCGCTCTTTTGTAGTACTACCCGTGGTACCATTGGCACCTGCATCAAATTATGTGAATAAGAAATGTTAAAGTTGCCGAGAGAAGTAGTTATTACTTTGCTGATTAACAATGAATGCTGCAGTTGTAATCTGGTGATAGATGTCACTGATCCTGTGTTTTTATTTTCAGAGATAGCAGCAATGCAACAGCAGCCGAGCAGTAGCAGTAGCAGCCAAGGAACAGCAGCCGAGCAGTAGCAGTTCCACTATTATCAGCAGTTGATTTGGTGGTAATTTACTGTAAGAAAGCAATACACACCGTGGTGATTCTTATACCTCTCATGAGTATGTTGCAATCAGTGAGACCGATTGTAATTCGTCAATTCAGAATCTGCACTTATATAAGTTATGGAAGTGATTTCAGTTTGTTCAATTGGATTGCGTCGATTCAGTAATTTTGTAGTAGTTGGAGTTCAAACTGATTATCCTTCATCCATGGCTGATTTCAGTACTTAGTTTCAATAAATCACGTTTGCATCTGACCAGTATTGAGGGTTCCCATATTAGAACTTGAAGCCATGCTTTAAATCGTCTGGAATTTCAGGATTGTATTGACTGAAGCAAACTAAGGGAGAAATTTTTTTTTCTCTCCTTTTCCTTTAATTGAATATTACATTGAAAATTTCTGACCTGCATGTGGGTTTGTCACTTTGTCTATCAAACAGTGCGAACCAAAATTTCAACACTTGGCATAGGATACACTACATAAGTAATTAACTAAAGCAGAATCAATTATTGACCAAGTTTTGAGCTACAGTAATGTTATCCATGCTTGATTGATGTATAAATAATAATATATATAAACATTTGGTCCAATACCATGATTCCATCTGATATGTTTGATTCTGTGTGATCAGCTGATTGACCCTGTCGACAGAACAGTTGACAGAGATCTTAATCTTATCAAGGAATTGGGCTTAAATGTTGTGTATGCTATGAATACTCATGTACATGCTGATCACGTCACTGGAATAGGACTAATAAAGGTAAGCAGTTTTATGCTTCTAGGACTGTTTTGATGGATTTTTCTTTTCACGGTTACATGCTTTGTTTTATTTGGTAATATGGTTAGCTAATGGTGTGAACTTGCAGACTAAGCTACCTGGAGTTAAGTCTGTTATTGCAAAAGCTAGTGGGGCAAAAGCTGATCATTTTGTTGATCATGAGGACACAATACACTTTGGTAACCTTTTCCTTGAGGTACAACCACATTCTAACAAACTACTTTACTACGTTCTGCTTTATCCAATTATTATACATAAATTCCAAGATTTAAAATCTCACATACAAGGAGAATACTGTAACTAGTTCTCTTAAGCGCTGGATGCACTCACCACTTCACCTGGAATGGTGTCAAAAGGATCAATCAATGAAGTTAGACGCCTTTCTGATGATGCAATTAAAGAGATGGTAGCATCATCAGGAAAGAAGCATGTATTGCCTACAGAGGTATGGTTTGTGGCTTCTTGAGTTCAAAAGGGAAATGCAAGCTTTGGAAGCAGGTCACTAAGCATTTTATTACTCAATTTCTTTAGGTTGAATCTATTCTCAAGGACTTCTGGAAAAATGATGCCAGGTTCTGCATGTTATGTTCTGACTTCCAGAAGAAAACGTTAAGTGAACCAGAAAAGAGAAGGGGCTATGAAATGTTTTTCTTGAATAGTCTAATTAGATAGGAATGATTTCATATGTAGCACATTAGTGATTGGTTGGAAAATAACAGGCCAAACTTACAAGTGACACGAATTCATACATCTAATCACTGAAGTAGGGATGCATCATTTACCTGTAATCTTTGCCTCATTTTGAACCCAGTTGCCGATTGCAGTCGGAGTACGGGGCTGGCCTCCATCTGCCGCTGTATCCATAGTGCCAATTCCAGACGATGGATTACTCGGCTGGCCTCTATCTTCTGCCGTAGCCATTGCCGGCGAGATGAAACGATAAAAAAGAGATGAGAAAGTAGAGAGAGGATGCGGTTTGTGAAGGATGCTGTAGGGTTCCTGCGATCAGGAATGAGCAACTGCGATCGTACAGGAAAGAGCAACTGCGATCCTACAATTACGGAGGCCACGTTCTCCAGACGAGAGTTTCCAAACGAAGACCACCCTACCGCTAAGCCACGTGGCCCATGTAAGCCCGCAAGGGGAGACAGGAGGCCCAAGATGAGCGGCCCATGAGCGGAGTGCATGTGGTGGTGGCCGAGCCCGCCGCCACGTCAACGCGGTGCCTGGCGAGTCCTCATCGATCACCGCCATTTCTGAACCGAGCCCGCCGCCGCGTCCACGCGTCATTTTTTTTTTCTTTAGCACTAACAAGTAGTAGTAGTTTGTTGCCACCGCTGGTCGTTGCTAGATCTTACATCACCAATGCATGGTCTGGAGGACAACGCTTCGCTGCTTTCGTCACCTTTTCATGGGTCTCGAGCATTCGGAACTTGGGTGAAGCGGATCTTGAATGCATCAACGGCAAGGGAGAATAGCTCAATGGCATCGGATGGCTAGTAGACGACGCGAGCGATTCACAACGATTCTCCGCGTTCTGCATTGCTCGCAGCTTCACGATACGTGTTCACGATAGCAACTCAACCTACAATCTCCGGGGCTGGTCCGAGTGGACCAATAGGCCCAACCTGAAAGGAAGCGAACCGATCACTCTTACATGTACTCCAAGTGTACTAATAGACCTAACATGATATGAAGTGAACCGGTCATTCTCATCTCTTGCCAGAGTGATGAAGCACTATGCATAACATGATAGGAACTAACCCGCCACTCATGTGTCGTCCGAGTGGACCAATATGCTATCACGATAAGAAAACACATGCGATCACTCTCATGCTTTGTCTGAGTGCACTCCTAATCTTGCATGATAGCAACTCAACCTACAATCTCCGGGGCTAGTCCGAGTGGACCAATAGGCCCAACCTGAAAGGAAGTGAACCGATCACTCTTACATGTACTCCAAGTGTACTAATAGACCTAACATGATATGAAGTGAACCGGTCATTCTCATCTCTTGCCAGAGTGATGAAGCACTATGCATAACATGATAGGAACTAACCCGCCACTCTCATGTGTCGTCCGAGTGGACCAATAGGCTAGCACGATAAGAAAACACAGGCGATCACTCTCATGCTTTGTCTGAGTGGACTCCTAATCTTGCACAATAGCAACTCAACCTACACTTTCCGGGCCTAGTCCGAGTGGACTAATAGGCCCATCCTAAAAGGAAGCGAACCGATCACTCTTACATGTACTCCAAATGTACTACTAGACCTAACATGATATGAAGTGAACCGGTCATTCTCATTCCTTGCCAGAGTGATGAACCACTAGGCATAACATGATAGGAACTAAGCCTATTAGTGCACGTGTCGTCCGAGTGCACGTGTTTTTAAAAGTGTGATCGCGAGTTTTTCTTAATTTTAAGTTCTGGCTTTTTACTAGCAATTAGTAGTTTAAGTCAAAAAAATTAGCATGGATTATGTATGAGGAAAAGAATGTGGAGGATGAAAAATAAATACAATACATAGAAAATTGGATATGAATGGTGACAGCCTCCCTAGCGGCAGATATAAAAAAAATAAATTTTAAAATAAATGGTGGCAAAAAAAATTGTTGCCACGGGCCAGCATCAGCTAGGTTGGGCTCGACCACGGAGGGAGCCCAACTAGGCCGCGCCAGCCCGATTGGCCCAGATGACGAGTGAGAGTAGGCATTGTACAGTTTAGGAGTTCGATCCCTGGTTCTTCTCCAGTTCTTTTATGCTGCGCTCTTAGCTGCTCAGCGAGCGAGGTGGGACTAAACCGGATGCCGTATTCACGTGGCTTAGTTGGGCCACGACCACGTGATGGGCAGGCCCAGCCGCCGCCCGCTCCCCCTCCTCGATTCATGGCGTGCGTGCGCAGGCTGATAGGCCCAGCAACCGCGGCCGGGCGCACGCGTCAGCGACCCGGTCCCTTCCCCGTTGCGCCGCATCGACTGGGCGAATCCACCGCCGCCCGATTCCCGCGCACGCGCCCCCCGAGGTTCCCCGCGCCCGTGCATATGCAGATTAGGCCCAGAGCACCGCGCCGCCCCCTTTGAACCCTACAGGAGCCGCCCCGATCCCTAGCCCTAGCTCGCGCACCGCCATAGCCGCCGCCCGGAGCTGTACCCGCCGCCGCCGCTGATCTCTGCCTTCACCGCGTCACCGGCGTCTAGAAGACTCAACGACCTTCGCAGCGAGGTGAGCAATCTGTCGGTGCCATTCGTGTATCTCTTATGTAGGTATTTTTTGGTTTGGTTGATGGAAATCGACAGGGTTTTTAGTTGCAAATGCAGTTGTTGTGTGCTTGTATTATAATATGCCTTATTTACTGCAGTTGCACCTCGTCTAATTTTGTTGTTGCTGTTGCTTTTACCAAGTGTCTGACTCAAAGACAATATTCTTTAATGCCCAGTGATCATAATGTTGCTGAATGCTTTCGAATATTTTTTCTCGAGTACGCAGGAGAGCTGCGTATCATTGTAATGGTTTCGAATATGATGCTCGTCAATTTCTTTTTGTGTATTTCCTTTATTTCTTTGTGTTCCACCCTGCAAGACATAACATTTCCTGCACTGCAACAGGACTATGATGAAGATGGAACACTTTCCTTATCTGAGTTCTCAGACTTGATGAAAGCTTTTGGTAATAAATTAGCAGTTGCAAAGGTTAGACTCCATTCCATTTTCTTGGAGAGTATGTTCCCTGTATTCAGTCCCTTCTGTTGAGTGCATCTTATTAATTTCTTTCATACATTAGATTGAAGAGCTTTTCCGTCAAGCAGATACAAATAGTGATGGCATAGTTGACATAGATGAACTGGCAGCCCTACTGGCTGATCAACAAGAAAAGTAACAATTTGCTACTTTGTATTTTGTTATGTTTTGAAATTAATTATTGCTTATCTCGTAAGTATAGCAGTATCATTGATTATGCTGCCCTCTTTTTCAGTGCTGAATATTTTTTGACATTGCCGTACGGATGCTTGCTGCTGCTAGTTATAATTTTGTTTTCCAGTACTTTGTTTGCTATGTTTAGGCACTTCACCATGAGCGCTACTAGGTAAATGCAGTTGTTGTGTGCTTGTATTATAATATGCCTTATTTACTGCAGTTGCACCTCGTCTAATTTTGTTGTTGCTGTTGCTTTTACCAAGTGTCCGACTCAAAGACAATATTCTTTAATGCCCAGTGATCATAATGTTGCTGAATGCTTTCGAATATTTTTTCTCGAGTACGCAGGAGAGCTGCGTATCATTGTAATGGTTTCGAATATGATGCTCGTCAATTTCTTTTTGTGTGTATTGCCTTTATTTCTTTGTGTTCCACCCTGCAAGACATAACATTTCCTGCACTGCAACAGGACTATGATGAAGATGGAACACTTTCCTTATCTGAGTTCTCAGACTTGATGAAAGCTTTTGGTAATAAATTAGCAGTTGCAAAGGTTAGACTCCATTCCATTTTCTTGGAGAGTATGTTACCTGTATTCAGTCCCTTCTGTTGAGTGCATCTTATTAATTTCTTTCATACATTAGATTGAAGAGCTTTTCCGTCAAGCAGATACAAATAGTGATGGCATAGTTGACATAGATGAACTGGCAGCCCTACTGGCTGATCAACAAGAAAAGTAACAATTTGCTACTTTGTATTTTGTTATGTTTTGAAATTAATTATTGCTTATCTCGTAAGTATAGCAGTATCATTGATTATGCTACTACCCTCTTTTTCAGTGCTGAATATTTTTTGACATTGCCGTACGGATGCTTGCTGCTACTAGTTATAATTTTGTTTTCCAGTACTTTGTTTGCTATGTTTAGGCACTTCACCATCAGCGCTACTAGGTAGAGCAAGTGAGTGACTTGTATGTCAAAATGTAGCATGAAATCGTGCCTTTACAGAACTATTCCTTCAGACTTTTCTCAAATGTCGCTGATTGATGCAGGAGGAAATGCCGGATCTTGATTCTTTGCTGGAGTACAATGAAATTGTTAGGAAGAAATTTGGTAGTGAAACAGAAAGATATCTGTTTTATAACAAATACGCTAAGGGGAAAGGATTTAGTGTTAGGAAAAGTTATTGTGAGTGGGGCAACAACCACAATGGGAGGACCCTTCGGAAGTTTGTTTGCAGTTGTGAAGGTTTCCACGAAGAGAAGGAGCTGAAGAGGGAGATTAAGAAGCGGAAGCCACGGAATATTACTCGTGTTGGATGCCTTACTAAATTTATGATTGCTTGGGATCAGAACACAGGGCAGTGGTATGTGAAGGATTTCATCTATGAACACAACCATCCAATGGCGGAACGAGACCTTGCTTGTCTTCTGCGTTCACATAGAAGAATCAGTGATGAGCAAAAAGCTGATATTGTGGCGATGCAGATTTCTGGGATCCGCAAACACCAGATAATGGATATTATGGAAATGCAGTATGGTGGGTATCATAAGGTTGGATTTACAACAAGGGACTTGTATAATTTCTGTCATCGCAATAAGGTGGAGCGATTCTTTCTTTGGTGATGCTCAAGCAGGTCATCGCCATTACGACGAGTGTAGACGTAGGGATCATGATTTCTTCTTCGACTACAAGACTGATGGGAAAGGGCACCTCAAAGGACTGCTCTGGTGTGATAGTCAATGTCGGCTTGATTATGCGGCATTTGGTGATGTCATCGTATTTGATAGCACGTACAAAACGAATCGGTACAACCTGCCCCTTGTTCCTTTTGTTGGGGTGAATCACCATGGCAGCACAGTTCTTTTTGCATGTGGAATTCTTTTCCAGGAGACAATTGAGTCATATGTGTGGATTCTTAAGACATTCTCTGATGCCATGATTCAGAAGCATCCTGTTTCCGTGATCACTGATGGAGACCTTGCTATACAGAGAGCAATCGGGCTGGTGTGGCCGAATTCATCGCATAGGCTATGCATATGGCATATTGAGCAGAACATTGTGCGTAATCTTCACGATGATGGTGTGAAGGCTAATTTCAGGTATTTTCTTTATGATTGTTGCTCCATAGAAGAGATTGAGAGGAAATGGCTGGAATTCTTGGATAAGTATAACGTTATAGAAAAGGAGTCGTGGCTGTATCAGATGTATGAGAGTGTGCTGCGTACCATGCTGATAAGTGCTATTTAAGACTGAGGAGCAACCAGCGGAGTGAGAGCCTAAACTCTAGGCTTCAGGTAAATCTAGATCGTAAAATGACAATGTTCGAAATTTGGTTGAGCACTTGACCATTGCCTTTCAGCAATTGCTGTGATAATGAAGCGAATCTGGACTTTGAAGCATCGAATTCTTTGCCATGCTTAGAACCAGATGCTTCAATTATTGAGAAAGAGGCTGCGAAATCGTTCACACCAAGAATTTTTGCCACGGTGCAGTTCAGCATAAAAGCAGCCAAAAAGTGTTTTGCGAGAGAGATTCTAGATTACTATGATGTGATTAAGTATATTGTTGGCAGGGAGGATAAAGGAGACAGAGAATACCATGTGGAATGTGAGATATGTGTTGATGAAAGCAATCTGAAGGGAATTTCTTGTTCTTGTCTTAAGTTGCAGTCCCTTGGAACCCCCTGCTCACACATCTTCTTTGTATTGGGATATCGCAAAGAATGCGTGCTTCTAGGCTGCTGTGTTTTGAAAAGGTGGACAAGGGGGGCTAAGAGTGCATTTCCTCCTATAAGGAAGAGCACCATGTATGACTATTCCGATAGCCTACAGAGGTACTATGAGCTACGTAATATCAGTCACACTGCATCCTTTGTAGCATCTTGTTCACCTGAAGCATATGAGCGGCTGAAACGTGTTCTGCATGAGGAAATTGCTATGATCCTGCCAAACGGAGGAGAGAACGGAGACAAGAGGTATGGTCCGGTGCTGCCACAATGCCTGGATGTTGATTCTGCAGAGTCCAGAAATGTCTTGGATCCCATGCATGTTCCTGGCAGAGGGGCCCCGAAGAAAAAATTGAAGTCAGTTTTAAATAAGAAGAGATCTAAGGTGAAATGTACCCTGTGTAAGGGTGAGGGCCACAATCGGCGAACATGCTCCATAAGAGAAGAGGTAGTTAAGAGTAATGTTCATAAAAGCTAACAACTGCCTGTCTGTGAGGATTGTCTAGCTATGGCTAATGTTACTCTTCTATTGTAGGAAACAAAGCTCCCTGAAGATGTGCTGGATATATGATTTGCCAAGAATCCACTTGCTGTTGCACAATAGGTACGCTGCTGCATAACTCATTTAAAGTGATACACAATATGGTGCTTTCAAACTGCAAATTTACCTTGATAGGGTAGCAGCTACTCATCATCCATGCCAAAGCTCAGAATGCTGGGTTCCTTACTGGCTCCAAAACTACTTCTAGTTCCATAGATTGGTATGGCTATTAGTCAGGATTCAATGGAGTCAGGAGCATTGTATGTCGTACCAGTTCCAATATCTAGCTGTAGCATATCAGTCAATTAAGCATTTCTTTTGTGTCAAATACCTTTCGCCTATAACTGCTCCCCTCCCCTATTCATCTCAGCCTTCTGTTCCTCTGCGGCTTGGCTTAGTTCGCCAGGGGTTGGGTTGCCTTGGCTTGGTTGTGGAGAATTATGTCTGCCTCGCTTAGTCTCTGTTTGGCTGCGTACTAGTCTGCTGCATATGTACTTTTATTTAAGAAGAGTTGTAAATTCTGTATTGTTAGCTCAGGAATACCGTTTTGAGGGGCTTCAATGCTTGGGATTACTCTTTCCAGATAGTGTGTACATGCACTGTGAATGACATGAGTACCCCCTTTTCCCCACTCCCAACCAAGCACTCCCCATCTGCATATTAGTGAAACTAACATGTTTGGCTTCGAACTCCCTTGGGAAAACACTGAGTCTTTCAAGAACTGGAATCCTTCCTAGATACAAATATCAAATCGCGTTTCCAACTTGACACAGATACAGCTGCCCCACCGCATTTTATTTGAACTCCTTTTTTTTGTAATACAACACGTTATACCTAGATAGCGATATATCCCTGTATTGTGGAGATTATTCTGAAGCAAGTTTCACCTGTAAGTTTAACGCTGTTGTTTTCTGTTACCAGGCAAGGCACTGTCTTCATTAGATAAAAAAGAGGATGCTCTAGCTGCATGGAAGCAAGGATATGAAATCGCTGTCCGTGACACCACAGACTTGAAACAATTGCTTCAGCTGGAAGAATTGGTTTCTTGTGTTAAAATTTGTGAGACAACCGAGTCTGCAGACCATGTCATGGACACATCGACTTGTGATACCAAAGTTGTTATCTCTGAAGATCGTGTTGCTGACAAGTCGCTCGCTGCAACTACAATGCCTGATACATTTTTTTTATCTACCTCTTCTGTTATTCCAATAAAGTTCCAAACTACTCTTAGTATATTATTATTATTTTAACCTACTGTAATTTACAACCTGTTAGTTTTGGATGAAGACATGCATAATGTGTGACGTTGCGCTCACTGCTCAATAAATGATACTCTTCCTAAGAAATGCTGAAGCAACAACTCACAGATTAACAGGATGGACTGAAAACACTGAACAAAAGTCTGGCACTCCTACTAGTTCATACTACATCGGACTGAAATACTGAACATTAGCATGGTTGATTCATACATAGACCGTGTGCAGGTTAAACAACGCTACTTACAAATCAGGCAGAACAACACGGGATCTGACAGAGAAGCTGCAACTGCAATGCGCAAGGTTTCAGACTTTCAGTTGTCAGATATGTCATGGTGAGACTTGAGAAACATAAACACAACGTTTTTCAGAAAATGGTACAGTACTAGATGCTGATAAAAAAAACATGGACAAAAACATTTTTCAGAAAATCACACTACAATAAATTTGTTTGAAAGACAACTGCTTGTTGGCTACAGTAGTAGTTCAGAAAAAGCCAATGGTTGCTTCAGAAATGCATTGCTGCAATACCAATCAGATACTGCAGTGTATTTCTGCAACTCCACTTCAGAACAATCAGATTGTTTTCAGAGACAAAGGAAACATGCAACGCGCAAAGGTTTCAGACTTTCAGTTCTCAGATGTGTCATGGTCAAGACTTGAGAGTTGAGAAACATGAACACAACATTTTTCAGAAAAAAAAATGATGCTACATGCTGATCAAAGGAAACACGAACATAACATTTTTTTTCAGAAAATGTTACAGTACTAGATGCTGATAAAAGAAAATAAACTTTGGTATCAGCCATTGCTGACAAGTTGCTCGCTGCAACTACAATGGCTGATACATTTTTTTTCACCTGAAAGGTAGCAGTTGCACTCCAACTCTTGATTTGTTGCAAGGATTTTATTCCTTTGATCACCAGAATATTGAATGTGACCCAGCCAGCAGTCAGGCAATCAATACACTAGTCCCTCTCTACTTTGGAGGCTCAATACTTCAAGTTCACCAGGTCAATATTTTTGGTGAACTTTAGATATTCTTTTTCAGGACCCACTCGCATTGAAAGCAAATGACACCTATATCGGCCAGAGCACAGATCATAGTACATTCAGTTACCAAGTCATCTAGTCAGAACATTCTAATTAGAAGTAAAATAGACAAAAGACAAGCCACTGCAATTTACTTTTCGGAAAAAATATCATCTTGCACAATCACAGTAACTTGCATTCAGTTTTCAGAAAAGTAGCAGCTTGCAACACTAATACACCAAGTGTCCAAATATAAGACCAAGAACAAGTGCATTCAGTTTTCAGAAAAGTAGCAGCTTGCAACACTAATAGAACAAGTGTCCAATCGACCAAGAACAAGTGACCAAGTAAAAGACCAAACTCCAACTATCCAATAGCTAAGAAGCATGTTTGTTCATCGCATGAGACATGTCGTCTTGTTGAGCTTCCTCATCAGCGCGTCGTTTCTTCATCACAGGAGACGTGTCGTCTTGTTGAGCTTCCTCATCAGCGCTGCCCAATAGACGGTCCTCCTCATAAGGCTGCCATGGATGGCCTTCGTCATCAGGCTGCCATGGACGGCCGTCCTCATCATAAAATCCAACTCCGTTCACTATGTACAGATGACAAATCTTTGTCCTTTCATGAGCATGTGCATCCACCATTTTGTCTACATCTTCTTGTCTATCAATCTTTACCAATGCAGTTGATGGCTCACTCCCATGAACAGGATTCAGGTAGTACAACTGTGCGTCTCCTTTGTATCCAAAATAAGCTGTCAAATGCTGTGACAGAATGTAATACTCAACAGTGGCTGGCTCTGTAATTGCAAACTCGGCCAATTGTTCTCGACTGCTGTAGATCCGAATAAATTTCCTTCACGGAGTGAATCTTAAAGCGCATTACCACATGCTGCGTGTATAGATTAGACGAATAAGAATCATTTCAAATCAACGAGTAACCAAAATTATATGAAAAAATCATATACCGGGCCACACTCGTTATTAGTTATTACACACATGTATCTCCATGGTATACATATCATATCTTCTACCTGAAAGTGCAAACAAGGGGGGCGTTCAGATGGTTATATATATAATATAAATTAAAAGAGTACCATAGTTACCTCTATATTCATGTTGGCACGGACCTCCTCTCGTTGGATGAAGGACTCAATGAGGGTCTTCATCTTTAAGCGCTCATTCTCCAACGTTGTCAATTGTGCCCTTGCCTGCTCAATCATGGACTCAAAGCGTTGTTTCTCGTTCTTTATATTGGCATCATTTTCTTCACGGGCCTTTTGTAAGAAACAAGAATAAGTGGCATGCTAAATTCAAACCCTTTTAAAACTACATCCAGTAGACTAAAAAGTATGCTACATCAAAGTACGAAATCATGTTATGCTTGTACAAGTGTTGTATTAACATGAAAAAAAAAGAAAATGGATAGTGATTAATGCTACTCTACTTATTAACCAAGATAAAAGAATAATGCAGAACAGTGAACACACTTAAACATTACCTTTTGTAAGGCATCATTTGAGAGAGCACGCTCCTGCTCTATCTTACGGGCATAGGTGGCATGCTCATCGTTAATGCTTTGTTCAGCAGGGCAACTGTTCATCCGCACTCTTTTGGCCAATTCGAATGCTTAGTCTCTACCGCTTTGTCTAGCTCGGCACGCTGAAGTGATACGTAGTTGTCATATTTACATCGTTGTTCTCTCCTCCTGATTTTAGCTTGGACACGTTCAAGCTGTATATCTAAATCCAGATCGTGCCGGTCCGCCTTCTGTTTGCTAACCATCTCCTCCCCCTCTTCCAGGGACCTCCGAACTCGTTGCATGTCGTTGCTACCATCCATGACACCTAGAGATTTAAAAACAAGAATAAGTGCCATGCTACATTGAAACCCTTTTAAAACTACATCCAGTAGACTAAAAATCCATTGCAATAAAAAATTACTTAGGAAGACACTATATTAATTTGCTAATGCAGCTGCTGCTATAAAAAATTGCTCCGCACCCACACCTGAAGTAGCCAACAGTTGCAACCAGCAGTTGCAGCTCAACTGAAGAATCAATACATCTATGAGTATTATATGTATAGCATCATTATTGCTTTGGAGCCCAACTGAAGAAGCAACATAGCAGAGCAGGGTGTTACTTTATCTGTATGGTACAGCAACATAGCCTATTACTTTTTTTTTGACAAAATTTAGATGATATTATACAATGTTCTTTTCTCTGAAGCAGTAGAAAAGACATGTATTGTTTGAGTTATTTTTCGCAGTACACTATGGATTAGAGTAGTATGGTATGTGTTTATCTGAAATGAGTTTAGGTTTGCTCCTGCCTCTGCAGTGTGGAATTCTGAATACTTAAATTGAAAGCAAAAGTGAAGAACATGTCAACTCACATGTTTCAAATTAGAGATATACTAGGCTCACAACAACTGCATTTGCAACTGAAAACCTTGTCGATTTCCATCAACCAAACCAAAAAATACCTACATAAGAGATACACGAACGGCACCGACGGATTGCTCACCTCGCTGTGAAGGTCGTGGAGGCTTCTAGACGCCGGTGACGCGGTGAAGGCGCAGATCAGCGGCGGCGGCGGGTACAGCTCCGGGCGGCGGCTATGGTGGTGCGCGGGCTAGGGCTAGGGCTCAGGGCGGCTCCTGTAGGGTTCAAGGGGGTGGCGCGGTGCTCTGGGCCTAATCTATATATGCACGGGCGCGGGGAACCTCGGGGGGCGCGTGCG